TTCTTCTTTCAGTTACTGTCAAAACTTGTGACCACGGGTGAGGGTCAGAACAAAGAATTGAGTGGGAAAATGAGAGTCTGTCTTTGCAGCTCTGCCCTCTCTTTGCCACAGTGGTCTGATATAAGCTGCCTTACTGTAGCCACTTGCACCAAAATGACAGTCAATTTCATCACCTATTTCAAGGAGAGAATCATGGAGCCAGATATCAAAGTGCAGGATATCATCCCCACAGAGAGGGAAACATCCTGTCACAATTGGACAAAGGCTGAGGTTTGGTTTCAGTCAAGTTAGTTGGGCTCAGGGGGCCGTCTGCCTTTTTCTAGCATTAGTCATAGGATTCAATGATGTCACACACCTTGAAATTAAAGTTGTAGTGAAAAGAAGAAAAAGAGACTCAAACAATGAAACTGAATAGGAGTATAAGTTATTGGAAACACTAACAAAACCTTGGAAAATATAGTCCTACAGCCACTGTAGAGGCAAGAAAACCGTTCTATTATGTGCTTGAAAGCAGCTTGTGCAAGTCTGAATATGATGTACCCAAATAAACTTTTCCTAATAAAGTCTGTTACAAATTTGAAAAAAAAAAAAAAAAAAAAAGGTTCTTAACAACCAGAGACCTTGGGTTCGGATAAAAATCCTTCAAAAAGAAACACTGAAAAGACTCAAAAAAGAAAATAAGAAAAGAAAAAGAACTTGGAAGAAGGAGGGAGCGACAGGAATAATCTTATGATAAAAAGTCATGCAAAAGAAACCTGCCTGTTTAAAAAAAAAAAAAAGTTTTATAACACCTTTCTGATAAACCCTCAGCATTCACAGAATTCACTGAACTACATGAACAAAGTTTGGCTTAACACAAACCGCAAGGCCTATTCTGTTTAGAAATCTGTCACTGTATCAGATGATTTTCATAAGCAGTGGAGGCCTGACAGATATGAAAGGTCTATTGATGTCAAATTTTCACATTTTTTTGGGGTTACCTAAAAACCACTCTCTTTATTGTGTTGGGTTTGAAAGTTCACTTTCAATCTTGGAAACAGCAGCTGACAAAATAAAGCATCATTCTCACCTCAAGGTCTTTCAGCTGCTGAATGGTCCTGGAGTTTAAGAACCAGAGGAAGGTGAAGGCTGGATTTCTAAGCCTGACGTTTATTGATATTGTGTCCTGAATATATTAAAAAAAAAAAACATCTTAAGAGGTGTAAAAGAGAGTAAAAAAAAGAACTGCCTTGGTAAAATGAAACTAATTCGATATTCAATAAAGACTATATATAATAGCTTTTTATCACAGAGGACATTTTGGCATAAAAGGAAAGCCTATGAGAGAAAAAAATCAATAACAACTGACTTCCAGCTAGCTTATTCAGCTTGAGTGTTCCCAGTATTGTGCAGTCTGGTTTATGAGGACATTTGAACAGAGCAAAGCGATCATCAATATTACTGACAACACATGTTGATTTGACACGAGAGGGATAATCGTGCTTGACATCAAAACACGCCAACCCTCCAGGTGGATTCCAGCTGATGGGAGGTAATACAGCCACTCCAACTTGCCGCTTTGGTGGGTGAACTTTTATATATTTTCCTGTTGAATTGTGGACTTTTTTAAAAACAGTGTCTAAAATATTTATTTTAATCCGACACTACGACAGTCACAAAAATATTTGGCTTAATTGCATATAATATAATTTCCATCCATTTAAATTACTTACATAAAATATAAACAGCATATTTGTCAGTCAAATGTAAATGAAACAGTTAAGAATTACATTTATGAATGAGATTTATGTAATTATATCAATAAACTTAATGTTTTGAATAAAAGAAAATTACAGATTTATGTATTCATCAGTGATAAATCCAATTTGTTTCTGTTTTATAAATTTTAATAAAATTAATTTTGATTGATCCACCGCTTGTCATATTTAAACTATCTTCATACATTTTTACTGATTAAGTTAAATTGTTTTCACAATTAACAGATTTATGCTGATTTTAAGAAATTTGAAAAAAAATAATAATCTAAAATTCAATAATCCAAATTAAATCAAATAGATGGAAATACTTTAAAATAAATTATGCCATGATTTATTTTTCTGAGTGCATCAGCACAACCTCTACAAAGTTGTTTGGTTATTGGTTCATAAGCTTCATCTGTGCACCTACTCTTGATTTGGGTGTGTACTGTAGACATTTATATACATAACAGTAGTGCTCTTGCATCTTATAAATTTAAACACTTGTTAAGTGGTTTTGACTAATCACAAGCAAATAATGAACACAGCTGGGTGATTAGAGGGAAAACTGGGTAAAATAAGGGAAAACAAAGTAAGCAAGTTGCTACAGAGTGGAGCCACGACAGGGTCTTTCTGTGGTAATTACAACCCTCTCATCATCTTGAACTCATTCATTATGATGGATAATGCTGTTCATGATAAATCATGTACACACCAGTATGCATTGTGTGTTCATAATAAATCAATAATTACATTGAAAATAATAGTTTGGTAATGATTTTTTTTTTTTAATGCGCCAAAACATATTTAATTCAACTTACAGTTCTAATAATATTCATAGAAACAGGTGACACCGTAGCCCACAATAAATAAGCAAGCTTACTATTTGTTATTAATCACATTTATCTGTAAATTCTCAGTGATGATTAATAAAACTGGATAAATCCTTACATATATTTGTCCTTGAACAGTGCTCTATCCCATTCTACATTCTGTTGTGTCAACTTCATGTGCTATCTTTAACTCTATTGATTTCCGCCATAGAAAACCTACACTTTCATGACTTGAAAGTCTTTTTCCACTGGTTTTACGAGTTTCTTGCTTGTTCTGACAATTAGCTGTGTTGCAGTTCAGGGCATGTAGCTGTAGAAGGCTGCATTTTAAGACTAAAGGATTCTAAAGGCTCCTCCAAATGTGTCTGACAAATCTGTCCTACTTTCCCAGGCTGTAAAGCCTGCATTAGGTGCATGCATCCTCCATGACCCTACCTGTCCTGTGATTCTTTGCATGCTTGTAAAAATAAGACAACAGACCTTAAAAATGCCGCGTAAAACTCTTCCAAATAAAAGTATTTGCAAGCTGTTCAAATCTTCTACAAAACAGACACAATGAAACTTATAATTATCTTTGAAATGCAGCTAATGATGTTCAACCATAGACTATACTATGGTCAACTTGGCTCCACCTTCCATCATTATACATATTTGAAGCTGAATTGATCCCGGTATTTTCAGGATTTTCTCCAATTCCCGGAACCACAACCTGCGCTGTAGCGTCGTACACATTCAGCGGGAGAGTTACAGTAATGACACTCGGCTCAACAGCGTGGTGAGCTATGCAGTATTCATACGCCCATAGTCTGTATCAAGTGTCAATCATAGAAAACATGAACCCCCTGATAACTTTTGAAATGGAGCTGAACAGAAAAAAGAGGACTTAAGCGCAAACCAGTCTTACAGTAACTACATGTCAACATCACAACCAAGTGGGAGAAAAATGTATGTTCTGTGTTATACATTAATGGAGTTTGTCCTCAACTCCAAAGGGATTGCTGGAGGAGGCGGGATTTATGACCTATACAGCAGCCCGTCACTAGAGGGTGCTGTTCTTGCGAAGGCTTTACCCCCATCTGATGGCCTATGTGATGCAGCTACATTAGCTGCTAATGCCCAGTAGCTGCCTGCTGTTTAGTGATAAGAGCAATGATATGCGATGCCATTGTCAGGGCCGTGACATACGCATGGACATCTTAGGTAGACCATGTCAGTTCAGTTGGACCTGACTGGTCTATGTAAGCCACATGGGAGTCCCAGATTGGGATACAGCTAATGTCCAACTAACCAGACCACTACCACGTGTTAGTTCTCATGAGTCTTTAATTGAAATCACAAGCTATCTAATAGAAACAGTGAGTTGGCTGCCATGTTGAGATAAAGTAGTTTTGTTGTTTAAATACTTTTATTTCTACATTTTTAAAATTTCTTTTTCAAATTGATCTTGCCTTGTCTTTGCTGCTTTTGTTTCTTTTCCCATCAAATTTACCAAACTTATGAGCAAACCTCAGAACGCCATAATTGGCCAATTAGAATCAAGTGCAATGTATTTAACACAGCCGTGGATTAATCAGTCATAATATTGAATTTAAATGCCTCGAGTGTACAATGAGCGTATGCTGAAAAATGCTGTACTTGCTTAAAGCTTTATGCTATGTCGAAACGAGTTAAATTTCATTGAAGTAGCTGTCTGATGCCGATAAGCACTTAAAATTTGCAGCTGCGCTATCTGATCGATCGTACAGTTTTTATGATTGATTGGCAGTCATGGTAATCACTATGCTTGAATGCATGTCCTGCTCTTATCCTGTGCAGTGTAAGTTTGTTTTTCACTGTTGTTATCTGTAAGGTGTGCAGGCAGTATGGTGCAGATTTTAGGATTGGTGCTGGGCAGCACTCAGTCTTTATTACTGGAGGAGCAAGAGAGTCTGACTGGAGCCAGGGAAGCTCAAGGTAGCATCATAGATTTGACCAGTCAGTCGTGGAGAGCACTAAGTCCTTCATTTACTCCCCACATTCCCCTGCCTGCCAGCCTCTCACCAGTGCCCTTATGTGCACACAAACACACAACCAGACACACGAAGACATGCGCTGAACACAATATGAAATCACACACTCATGTTTCACGTAGGTGCTGCTGCTTATTCCCATTTTCTCTCTCTTGCTGTCACACACACACGCACACACAAAGCTTGTTTCCCAACTCACTCACTCACTCCACCTCTTCACACACACTGTTTTAGCAGCCTTGAAAAGCTAAATGGTGTGAAGTTGAGTGTTGGTCCATCTGTCTCCTGGGTGTTTCGAAGGGATGAGATGGAGAGTGAGCAGTGGGAGGAACAGGGGGAGAAAGATTGGAAGAAGAAAAAGGAAAAGAGGGATAGGGGTCAGGTCCATTAATATGAATCACCAGCAGAACCCCACAGCGGCTCCATCTGTAGTGGTACAGCGCCCAGGAACAATTCACAGCCGAGACAACGGGACATTAAAAGGTGAGTTGGGGTAAAAAATACCTATGTCATGCATGAATTGCTGGACAGTTTTCACCCATGGTTCAAGGTTTCAGCGGCTTACCGTCTCTCTCTCACTGTGTCTTGGGCAGTAGCCATTGCAAAGTAAAAACCAAATGTCACTGCAGCGCCTTTCTGAAATGAGACCAACATTTTAAGAAGAAGGAGAATCTTTAAACATCACATGTAAAGGGGAAAAATCTCCTGCACCTGCTGGATGTAGTTTTCAGTCAGGCGGTTTCTATTCGATATTCTGAAAGGACGTTTGAGGAAGCACTTTATGGTGTAAATGTATTCAGCACAACATGACAGTAGAGGGGCCTGGCTATTGCTGCTGAAATCAATATTCTCCTTTCACGGACGCTTTAAACAGTAAATGCCTCTCTTTGAGGCAGAGCTGAAGAGCTGGAGGTGATTGTGCATGTGCTTGCACACACACACACACACACACACACACACACACACACAAATCACACATGTGCACACATAGGTGAATGCAAGATTGGCTGAAAGATACAGGGCTTCTATGGATTTTATACATAGTAGAGCAGCACCTTCCTGCTTTTTGAAGGCATTCATAATGCAAAATGCATGAGGGTAGAAAATAGAGCAAATAATTGCCAAGAAACCTTTAAAGTTTTCTGGCACATGCTTGGGGAAATAATAAAAAATAACTTTGGATGAAAGTATTTGAGGCTGTTGCTTTAAGTGAAGCCCTTTAAACTAAATGTGACAGCGCCTTGCTTATTCAGGATGAGCAAATGACAAAAAGAGAAGATGGTGGGATGAGCACTTACATTCAGAGCATTGTGGTTGATTCTGCATTGGGCTTAAAAAGGGTCAAAACTTCCCTTTCGAGAGTTACTAATATGTTCATTCAAACCATAAATTGAGATTGAGTATTTGGTCAAAATAGAATCAAATAATTCAAATAAATAGGGAATAAATCACATTTTAGCTGAATTTTTGTTATTTTTGCCTTTAGTGGTTTTGGCTCTAGCTCCTTTTTTTAACAATTCCAATCATTCTTATATAACAAGTCAGCACTTTTTATTAAAAAAGAAAAAAAAAGTATTGACTTTAAAAGCATTCAAATAGTTGATCAAAAAAAAATGCCATCAAAGTTTTACAGTGTGTTGAATTATGCAACATTTCCCTCTACTTACGTTCTATTTGAATTCCTCACATGAATGAAATAGTTGAGCCTTAGTCTCCTATAATTCAACACTGCTGTGCTGTCCTTGATGATTTAAGGTAAAAAGAAAGAGAGAGATAGAAAGACAGCACAACACACAGATAAAAGCGGTATTAAAGGGGAAATATTCCAAACTCCAAGGGAAAGAAAACTCCAGCCACTATGGCAATATTTAATGTCCTGGACTTTATGACTTCACTGTGCTGGTAGTGAACTGGACAGAAATTTAGATCATTACATAGTCAGCTTCATCTAATAGGTGATAAAGTTTGATCAAAACTGTAATACGTCTTACTACTCGAACATATCGTTGAACTTGACTAAATGGAGGTACTGTTTGGGGACTATCAAAACTAACAGTAGTAAAAAGATGGCAAACTTGAAACCTGATACCATCTTAGCAGCCAGATGTGGCTTTGACACTGACCTGCATTGCTTGTACTTTGTCAAACAAGTGCTATGCAGAATGGAAGAAAATATCCTGTTATTTGCTTAATTGCTTAAATATTAATTAGTAGGGTAACTAAAAATGGGCCTGGCCTACTTAAATACATCACAGTTAATGATACCTTAACCTGGTCCACACGCTTACACATTCCTGGCCCCTAATGTTTAATATGATGTGAAAAATAGTCTGTAGGTTGTAGCTGCTGTTGTCCAGTCAAACATATGTTAGAGGATTTTGTTCTTTGTCTTTATAGGAAATACGCCTGGCTAAATGGTAAGAGGTTAGGTGCCCGCCAGAAGTTAATATATCTGACATACTCAATGCTCCAAAATGTTATGGTCCAGCTCTCTTAAAAATTGTTGCTTAGTTCTTCTCAACAAGTGTTTCCACTAGAATTAACTTGACTTGCAGTCCCAAATTGGCAATCTCTTTTTGTCATTATTCATTTCTGCTCTGGAGGGTCTTATCGAAAAGGTGCTGAGGTGAAGCTTTTGGTCTTCAGTTGTTAACTGCAGGAGCACGACTCAAACCTTCATATCAGAGGCAAAAACTGTCTGAAATGTTATTAGTTTCCACATTAACAATGATCTTTTTGACGCCCAGATGGTTTAGTATCTTTTTCTTGGCTGAGTCACAAACTGGGATGCTTGGCACATTTATATGTCTGCTCTTAACATCCCTAATTAGTGTGTCTCCAGCAACAAGCATTCGATATGGCACTGGTCCTGCCAGCATTAGGCCTGTGTGTGGGATTAATGTCTCCGTGCTTGACAAAATAGACCCGGTCTTGCACTGAGGTAAATCCAAAGGCATGAGTGGGTGTGAAGGCTGTCTTGGGGAAACCTCTGTGTGTAAGTGTACAAACTGGATAGCCTTGATAATTTTGGAGAGTCATTAAAGCTCCATAATGAGTCGCAGTGTGAGGATTAGTAGGTCTGGGTTATACGTCATCTACAATATAAATAGACTGTTTGAGTCAGAATGTTTTAATCTCCATGTATCCTGTGTCAATCAATGTGTTCACCAACTGAAGGAGGTCTGAGGATGAGGTCTCCTCTTTCTCACTAATAATACATGATAAAAGCTTTTTTTTCTTCCATGATATAATGTCAAAGTATTCTCAAGCATACGTGGTTGATACAAAACTTTCAAGATCATCTTTCTATTTAGTTGTGGTTTCGATTTTTCTTTGCATAAGTGTATCACTCCTGCACAAACCCTGCACTCTTTTCCACTTCTGCAAGTTTCAGTTCAGTGCTGAACTGCATTTCATTGTCTTTGAACTTGCAAACTGTGCAAGGACATTTCACTCTAATCTGATCTAATCTAACCTGATTCTCTCCTTGTACACCTAGAGGACAGACTGTTGTTGGACACATGACTGAGGAGTAGTTGTTTAGGGAAGTCTAATGCATCCAGAGACAATTTGAGGACTTCTGGTTGAGCGTAGAGTGCAATGGGAAAAATGAAAAAATATCCTGAGTTTCCCCTTGTGTCTGGCTGCACTTAATTCCTCAGACCTGCCTCTTATATCAGTTTGAACATTGGTCGAGCCAAGAATATTCATTAGGTATATTTAAATACCTACTAAGCGTCAGCAGAGTTTCAAAACATGAGATGCATGGATGTCGGCATCTTCCCTAAGATGTGTCACAGCTCTTTTTAGTAACTTTGTTTGACTTTGCCACAACATAGGGACTCTGAACATCTTGATTTTGCCTGAACTGCTTGTCAGGCTCTGCTGTCCTGTCTGGACAATGCAGGTGCTCTGATACAACTCCTCCAAGGACATGTTCAAGCTTTTTCGAAATTTCCATTGACTGGAGAGTCTGTTTCATTGACTTCCTCCACTTTGCCTCCACTCTGATATATCTTGGAAAGTTTTGAGTTTTTCTTTTGACTGTAAAGTACAGTCATAGCAACTTTTCTACTCCAAGGGCATGGGCACACAGATCTTACATGAAGGCTACAAACTAAAAGCCACTTATCAACAATAGCTAATGCAAAGCTATAATAGGGTGCAGAGGTGGGCACTATCTGCTTGCCTCAGATGTCTTCTCCAAAGACAAGTGTCTTCAAGTGTCATATTATGACCTGTCAATACAGGATGAAAACACAAACCAGGCTGGGAAAAGAAAGGCCCAAACACCACCACACACTGAGGTTTACCCCAGCAGGAGGCCTGAGGTTTATCCCAAGGTCTTATTACTGGAGAAGTGAGCAAGTCGAGACTGCTCATAACAGCAAGCCTCATCTGAAACATCATTTTAAGAGGTAGTTCGCAGAATACATTTCACAGACATCATTATAAGATAAATGATGTGTTTTTCTATCTGTAAATCATGTAAAGCTGCTCGTAGGTGTCCTCGACTCTTAGAGATAAAAGAGGTCAGTATAACATCAATAAATATGTCTGAGATACATTTTCCTCAAAAATACTTTCTGTCCAGTGCAGGTGGTTCTTATCATCCAAATTGATGTTGAGTGTCTATTGTTTTTGGAGGTTTGGATTCAATCAGTTACATGATTTTGAAAAGACAGACAGCTCTCTTGACAAACACCGGCTTTGGCAGCAAATTTTACTCAAGTAGCAGAGTAGAGGAGAAACAAGGCGAGACAATTAAATAGCAACGGACACTAATTCAACCACTACATTTCTGTTCGGCTGTGGACTTCACCAACATGAGGGATCTTGGATGTTTTAATATTAAGTTTATTGCTTGGTTTGGGTAGCAGAAGGAGTTTGACTTTAATCTATTAAGCAGATTGACTCTTGCGTTCAGTCCATTGCAACATCCGTCAAGGTGGTATTTTGGCTTCACTTCTAATAACCAGAGAAGATTACAACACATTGTTCTTACTGATAGTCAAATGTTGTGCCTTCTCGGCTGCTAGCCAAGCTACAGCATTGTTGATAGCTAGCTTAGCAAGCATTGTGTTTAGGCGTTTCTATATCAGGTCCCTTTCTGAATTGTCACTTTTGATCAGGCAGTACTGACATTTTGGCTGCTTGGTAAAATGTTTTGTTCTTTCATATCTAAATATCTTGTGAGACTGTGTAATATGGAGGATGTGCAGTTTTTTTAAAGCAATATTAACGCTGAATATGTTGTCTATAATGAATACATTTGAATCGTGTCATGTGAAACATTTGTCAATGCAAACTACAGTAAGTTTTTTACTGCAGACAGAAAAGTCGTTGTCCCATTGAAGGACAGCAGTTCCTCAGATGTGACAGAGCCATAATGAAGTTGGGTGGATAAATTCTGTTTGGATCCAAGTTTCTTGATATATTGTAATAACCTGAGCTCCAGCGTTCTCCCATGATAGGTATCTCAGAGACTCTGAGTGTATCTCTCTGAAAATATGTACTTGGGTCCTCTACATCTTATATGATAAAGTACTTTATGGACATACTACAATCTCAAACCAACGGAATGCAAGGACAGGAGGTGAATTACAAACCTTGAAGTTTACTCACAGATGAGGATGAATGCAGAGCCTCAAGGCTCGTCATGAGGGTGATGCATCATGTTCTTGTATGCTTAGGGCTTTCGGTATACTATAAAATTGTGCTGACAAAAAAAGAAGAGAAAACAAAAACTTGTGCATCCAAAGTGATCATGAGATGCCAATAACGCAGCCTGTGAATTTACATTCTCTGTTCCTCAGAAGTCTGTTCTGTCCAGGACAGCAGGAGAAAAAAGCAACTACGTTGGCATTCCCAGGTTTGATAATCACAAAGACTGTGTGAGGGCTTTTGCACCAGCAGTGTGCATCTGGGCCAAGATTAGATCTCCCTCAGTCCAGTGTGAGTGAAAACATTACTGGGCGTATTTAGGGAGGCTGTCAAAGCTGTCCCTTCCAGGCTGTGTTCAATTCCACTTTGAGGCCCCGAGGGGTTGTGTCTGGGAATTAGAACTGTCTTCCTCTCGCTCTCACCCACCTACCTGCACATAAATTCACACACACAAACACCCCTGTTGGCCATGACCCATCTGGTTTTTCTCTATGTCTGTGGTTTCCCCTGTCTGATAAGAGAGCCGGGGCTGGTTAGATGACAAAAATACATTTAATTACCCTCCAGCAACCCACCTACCCACATACCAGGATGGACCGATTCACTCAGTTTCACAGTCTTTCACCTTTTCTCTGGTCTTTCCACCATCTCATCACCTGTCTTGCACTGACAGTCTTATGTAAGTGTCCTGAAGGATGAGTCTCACTATGTTTGCACATACACCATGTGTACAGGCATGAATGCACACAGACATGTGCACACAAACACAAACATAAACACATACAAGGGTTTTTGAGCCAGGGCATGTCTGGAACTAGTTTCTTTATTGTTAAAGGGGTGGTGGGTTTGCCTGTGAAGTAGCCTGTCCATCAACCTCAGCTTGTTAAAGTCTTGGGGGAGTAGATTGGCTGTGACATGTCTTGTCTACCTGTCTCTGTGGAGATGGTTACATAATGAGTCAGTTTGGAAGTTCGACGTCTACCCAGGTGAACTCAGTGCATGTGGGGGATGTGTGTGAAGACATAAACAGGTCTAAAAAGGACGCATGAAAAGAGAAAAAAAATGTGAAGGCCATGACTAAAATGTTATATGGCAGGATACATTTTCTGAATTGGAGCCTGTAGCCATCTACCTGGTACATCACAGCAGGCACAGTATGGGGGTTGACATGCATTTGAATAGCTTATTTCCAGACTTGAGCACAGATTTACTGGAAGAAAAATGGTGTTTTAACCCCAAAATTCAGACAGTGGTTGACAAGTCTAATAGTGAGACGTCAATTACCTGCAAGCTGTTTTCTTCTATATCCTAGTTTTGAGCTGTCAATCAAATTTGCCTGTAATATCTTCATCCTTAAACCAAAGCTTAATGTATCACATTTATCCTACTCCTGATGCCTTTTAGAGCTGAGTCGCAGAGGCAGAAACTAATCAATGGAAGCTATACCATTTTCTTGAGAAAAGTCTCCCAGCTGCTCCTGGATGATCTCAATAAATACCCTAGCTACTGTATATATGATATACAACCTTTTTGGAGTGTTTAATGTATACACAAGGGTTTTGTATCAGTAATTCACGCCTTTACCATTTCAAAGCAAGGGGCCCTTGAGAGTCCTGGTAAGATGTGGAATAACTTCAATAACCATTTTTCAACGTAAAGGAGCAGTATATCGACTCTGAACTCTGTGGGTTTCTGAGCTCCTGAGCCTACAGGTGCATCTCAGCCAATTAAAATAATGTGAAAAATGTCATTTTTAGAAGCTTAATTTTTAAAAAAAGGTGGTTTGTACACATTCATTACTCAAAATGTGAAATATTTCCTGCCTCTTTATTTTAATTGTGATGATTCTGACTCATGAAAGTCAGAAATCTAGCATATAAACTGATCATGTATTCCCTTTGATCAATCATTAAAGGACTTGAAACAAAGCACGTTCATTTGTACGCTCAATACCTGGTTAGGGCTCTTTTTCCATTGATTTTTGCATCTATGTGCTGTGGCACAGAGGGATCAGATAGAAGTGGTGCTGATGTGTTAGTGAAGCCCAGGTGGCATTCATAATAGCCATTAGTTAACCTGTAATTTAGAAATGGGTGTATCTCATCTTAAATGTTCTCTATAGGGTTCAGGTCAGGTCAGCTGGCCAGTGAGAGCATAGTTAGCAAACCATTTAGTAGATGTTTTGGAACAGTGGGCAGGTGCTAAGTCCTGCTGGGAAAGAAATCTCAGCATCTCAATAAAGCTCATTAGCAGATAGAAGCATGAAGCACTCTAAAACCTAAAGGTAGACAACATAACTGGCCAACACAAGCAGAAGGCTTGGCACCACCCTGGTACACTTTTCCCTTTAACATTCCAACAACCCTCTGCAGCTATGCAGGTAACAACAAGAAAACCAGGTAGGTGAGATTGCTGTTGGAGTGAAGTACAATGAGTTGTATTTACAGAGCAATTTTACCCTTTTCTGGAGTTCAGTTTGTCAGCATTCAAAGGCATGTGTTTCCCCATATTTGTCTTTCCATCTGTGATCAATTACCTGTTACCTGCTAGCCAACACAACATGAGTCTGGCCTTGAAGCACTTAAAAATTTGGTACCACTAAAATAGGGTGACCATATTCTGAATCCTCAAAAAGAGGAGGCTACTACACCAAATATTAGTCCTTAAGTAGTGAATGCTAGTGCTGGCTTTGCTTTCTTTCAATGTGTTATATCCATTTATTTTCATCGGTGCTATCAAATTTTATAGTTTTATAGTATAATATATTCAAACTCACCATTGACGTCCTTAAATGGGTATGACCTATTAGCACCACCTTTGTACTTAAAATAGACAGGACTAATAGGTTTAGTGTACTAAGTTTACACATCTGTGTCTGATTAAGTGTGCACATCTTGCAAATAGACAAAGCAAAATAAACTGACTACAAAGATGAGAGACAGTTCAGCACAACACACTGACACTCTTTGAAGCAGTAAATCTAAGAACCAAGGTGTGAACCCAGAGCCAGGAGTTGCAAGTGTTAATAATCTGATAATGCTTTTGCATATGCCTGTGAGTTTGATGTGCAACCTAGTGACCTGGATAAAACAGTTTACACCAGAATCATTCAGCATCACGCAGCTGTGACAGTGTTTTTAAAGGGGAGTGAGATTGCTGTGGTAACGCCCATTCAATACTGATGCGAGGGCCCCCGCTCAGACATGCAAATAGCATCATTTTCAAGGCATTGAATGATAGCACTAAGCACCTGTCTTTGCCAATGGCCACCTGTTGCACTGTAAACAGCTCTCATGAAATCATATCACACACCAAGACAATTGCAACCAGTTACACACACAGCCTTAAAAATACATCTCACTACACTTAAACAGTGAGAAAATTATTCATAGCAGCTCTCTCAATATGTTCCAGGTCACAACACACACACAGAGTATGAAATATCTTGACAAGTATCTCTTATCTGCTTTGAAACAAATCTAATTTTCCTGGAAACACCTTCTTGCTTGCGGTTGACGAATTTCAAAACAGAGCTGATAAAAATACAGAAAAGAAATAAAAGAATACTCACTCACGTATGAGGAAGTAGGATGTTTTAATTTTGGTTGAAATGAGTAATTGTTTTTGCTAAACCCTTTGTCAACTTTCAAAAAGTATTGGTCGCATGCTGTATTTTTTTGTAATCCTATACAGATCTTCATGGAACAAAGTTGTTTGCTCTGAGGAGAGTGGAGGAAACAGGGAAAAGTGATTGAAGTACAGGGGAGAGGAGATTGACAGGTGGACATTAACGGTGGAAAAAATAGCCTGGTGATTGCTGAGCGGAGACAGGTGGACGTTAATGCAAAAACTGTGAAGGCAGTAGACTGTGGACAATCTGCATGTCAAGTATCTTAAGTAGACAAGAAACCTCATCAGTCTGTACCCTAAGGGGTGGGGCAGGGCTGTATCCCCTCTCTGAATCTCATCTTTCAGTCAGTGTCGGGGCGTATCTTGGGTCAACATGTCCGTCTGTTAAGGGACAGGCACATCCATCAAACACACAAATAAAAACATACCAAACCAAAGCTGCACAGCTATGAAAACCATCACAGGTGACAGCAGCCGTTGGAATAGTAATGAATTTTTCATTTCTATTCGAAATTAATGCTCAAATTCCAACCAAGACCTGCGTCCACCCTCGCCCAAATCCAGCAATGGATCATTAAACACATCAGCACTTATAGTAACAAGCCACAGCTGTGATTTTTCATATAATCAGTGATGCATGGAAATGCTTCCAGCCTTGAGGACAGACAAACTGCACACTCGCTCGTACACACAAGCCGTAAAGGACAACTTAGCTCAGGTAGTGCAAAACAATCTTGGCAGCCAACCTTGGCATATTCTCAGCCTTTTACTATCAACACAGTGAAACGGAGGGCTGACTCTCACAGTGTGCTGGCAAGGTAAGGTGTCCTTGGGTAAACTAATGTACAAACTGCATACAGGAAAAGTTCATATACCGCTCCCAGATTATAAGACCTAAACAGATGGCATATGGCTCCGTTAATTTAACGTTGGAAGTATGACAACGCTAAGAGTCACTCGGGCGACGAGTGATTGAGAAAGTTGTCTTTTAAAAAAGTAAGAGAAAGAATGAGAAAGAATAAATAAAAGAGAGGGAGAAAAGCAGAGCAACAGATGCTGAATATTGTGCTCATTTATTCAGGGCCTGCTGTGTTAATGGCTATGTAAATCTGCAGGTCTCACAGAGTGGTAGAAACCAGCATTGGCAGGACTCAACAATGCAGCCTAATTGGAGATAAGCCTGAACAACAAGCTTATAGCATGGCCTCATAAATTACTGCTGCTACACCACACAGTCCGTTCCTGTTCTCCATTACCACGACCCCTCCTCTCTTTACATCGTAAAACAAAACATTGTAGGCTTTCCCACTTTGATTTTGTAACAATTTCCGGCTGAATTCAATAAAATCTTTTCCTTTTATCCCACTCTGTCGTGACAGCATCCTCCACTCCCTTACTCCCTTAATTCCTCTCTCCTTCCCCCCTTTCCTACTTGCCCTGGCCCTTCCCAGGGTTGTAAAGGGGGCTGTGCAGATTGAACAGTAAATTAAATTAATGTAGGCCATTTCTCAATCATTTTTCATCCCCCTAAAATGATTAAGGCTGACGTAAGAAGTTCATTAAAACAGAAAACATTAGGCTCATTAAAAAGCCATTAAAACTATCGCAGAGAGGTGATTTATGCTTGAGTTTGACTGGGGGAGGAAATGATTGGACGGAGGGGGGAGGTGAGTCCGAAGAGGAGGAAATAGGAGACTGAGGTGGTTGATGGTGGGGAGTCAGCTTTTTTAAAAGGATGCCACAAACAGTAAACTCAAAGGAACCGGAGAGGAATAGAGGCAAAAGAGAAACAGTGGGTGGCAAGCATTAGAGGATTTTAAGTGTTCGTTGGACCCTTCCTCAGCAGCACACCTAAAACGGAGCTCTGGCTGTTAGAGAAAACAGGTCTCTCCGTCTCTTTAATGTCTTCACTTTAAGTCAGCAGAGCCTCAAACCAGACATCATTAACTGTTCTTAACTCTGCACATTAGGCTCTGGCATTTACCAAACTAAATGTCATTGTTTCTAATCATCATCTGTAAAGCAGGATACAATATGCGTGCATGCTCATGCAGGTGCACTCATGCATACTAATGCTCCAAATTTACACGTCTGTGAAATAAAACTCTCTGCTTGTCTTGTTCTATATATTCTCCTTCCTTTTGTGCGTTAAATCTGTTCAGGATACGATACGTTCAGGGAGATAGTATCTCAAAGCCCATTCTCTCCATTTGACAAGGCAGAGGGAGAGCTTTCAGCCTACTGCTGCAGGTACAAAGTGGCAGAGAGATCGCTGGAGATGGAGAGGCAGAGAGGGAATATTTTGAAGAAGCTCTTTGAAGCAGCAGGCAGCAGTTCTGTGTCGGATAGATTCGGCTGTGTGCTAACGTAGCAGCTGGTGACTCAGACAACAGTGAGCCAGTTTTCTAGAGCTCAGCTCACCTGGAGAGGCTCAGCAGATCGGATGGTTAGATTCTGCTCACTCTCTCTCTAGCTGGAGGCAAGGTTTCACTGATATGTCTGCTGCTATCAAGCAGACAAGCTGTCTGTGATACTAATGCATCAGAGCGTATTCAACTTGGCAAACATAGCGGAGTCCCTGTTATTTTTCTCCTAACCTTTGAGCCTCTCTTACAAATTTGACCAAAGCCTCTGTGAAACACATTTGTGTCGGGTTTTACCCAAAGGAGTAAGGCAGTATTAACATTACTTGTATTCTTTATGCTCCTCTGCTTTAATCCATCATTGGGCCATGTTTCTTTTTATTTTATCCTGCTAAATATTTCACAAAAAAAAGTAAAACCCTTGCACATTATTCATCCTAAAGCTCTAAAGCATGGTCTGTCGGTTAACAATTTATTCCAATATTCAGGAGTCTCTTTGAGTGTGGAAATGCACACACATTGTTACCATAGGACACATGAAGCATGCAAAGCAGGCTGGAGGGGCTGGTACGTTACAGATCCCTCTAGGTGTGCTAAACGCTGCATTTCCTCCTTTGAAGATGGATGAAACCTTTCCATACAAATGCCCAACTGTGGGCGTACGCAAACAAACACACGCAGCTAAACAAGCTCTAACTTTCATGCTGATGTTTTAGTGTTTAAAGAGAATTCCAAATAGCACCACACATGGCCTGCTTTTAACCCAGAGGGATCCCAATGCAGGCTACCTAATTGTCTGTGAAGCTGCCAACTGTGTTCCTTCTTTTTCCTTTTTTCTAAACGGGTGTGTGTTTAGTGTCTAACCACCCGGCTGACAAAGACACACTTTGATAAATTGGCAAACAGTTCAGCTAGTTAGCAGTCTGCCGACATGGACTGAGTTTTTGTTTGTGTGTATGAGAATGGAGGTTGGGCTGGAGGATTGGGATTGTGTGTGTGCGTATGTGTGTGTGTGTGTGTGTGTGTGTGTGTGTGTGTGTGTGTGTGTGTGTGTGTGTGTGTGTGTGTGTGTCAGTTTCACAAAGAGAATGTAAAAGATGTAGCTGGCTGTTGGTAACATATCCAATTTGCAAGCTGGCTGATGGTTCAAAGTTTCTCCACTGAGTAGCTATACATCAACGCTGTCTTCTGGGAATGAGATTTTTTTCCATGACTTATTTGCATCAGCCAATGTACTTCAGTTATAATCGAGAAAGCCAATAAGCTGATACGTATATCTGAACTTTCACTGACTCTTCTCTTGAAGCAACACAACTTTTTCATGGTTCTGCTGCATAAAGCACCGCAGATAACCATGAGTGCTTACAACCATAATTATACAGGACCATAAGCACAATATAATGCATTATTACTATATTTAAAGTGCGTTATAATACATTACAGAGATGGGCTTTCTTGAAAGTGTTACTGTCTGGATTTTACAGCTCTGACAACTCAATCCATCTTTATTTTAGTGACGTTTTTAAACAAATGACCTGTTCTTTTATTTCTTTTTTTCCCCAATTGAACCAGACTCACAGTGTTCCCATAACTTTGAGATAAAGTCTTGAAGCTACCTGAGGAGATTTGATCCTTTTATAGGCTATATGAAGCTTTCAGAAGCAGAAAACCATCACCACAGCATGCATGATGGGGAGCAGGTGCTAGACAATCAGAAAACACCCAAAAAAGTTACTTGGCCAAGCCCAGGAACAGCCCAGTGTACAGGGGACTGAACACAGACTGGGGATTGAGGACCCTCCTTGACTCGGATTGAAAACCTTCATGGCCACTCATACACTCTGCTACCAAAAGTTATTATTAATCTCTTAAAATTCTTTGTAAGTTGAATAAAAAAATGACCAGACAACTGGGATTTTATGTCAAATAACTTGTTTGTGATCTGCTTGAATGACACTTGGAGACTCAAAATATCATCCAACAACATGAAAAATTTGTGCTGGCAATAACTGTGAACAAACTGAAGCCAGTTTGTTGTGTGTCACCCAGTGTAACCTTGGTCCAACATTCTCACTCTTTCTGTTCAAATTGCCTTTTTTTCACCGTTGCCTGTTTCTCGAGTTTGCTTTTGCCTGTCCCTTCAGATTGTGTGAATTTTTCAATTGCCTGTGTACTGACCTGGCCCAGACTTGAGAACAAACCCTGTCTGCCTTTACTCTGCCCTTGTGAGTCCAACAGGAGTCCATTGGTTTTGGTTATCGGTGGTCTGTTTTACTTTTATTCTCAGAGGGTCTTCCATGAATTGAGTTATGCATGGTCAGAAAGTCAACATGGGAGCACATTTACTGTTGAATGGTTTGTCAGCGCAGTCCTACTCCACACTCAGAGGATTTGGATGGTACTCTCTATGGGAGTGCAGAAGCAGCAGAGTGTAAGTGAGAGGGGGAGGCTGTGGAAACAAGGCACACAACTGATTTTGAACTGGGGCAGTTGAGTAGCATGGCACTTGCCATGCAATATACCGAAGGGCCGATCATGGCCGGATCCACTGCTCCCAACCAGTCACATGAATTTATAGCATTTTGGTTAGCTTTTATTCTAATGTCAGAAAGGTAATGTTTGCAGTTTATATTTAGAGTCAAAGTCATATTATTTGATTTCAACTTTTGTTTTTGTTTGGGAGTTTATCGAGATTGTAAATGCACTATCCCTTTATAGTGTATCATGTAACGTGATCACTCATGTCATCCTTGACATTTTTGTTTTGCAAGGTGTCCTGGGGACTGGGTTTGATTAGGTGGTGAAATAGCAACACTGTTAGCCTGTTCACTGTGTTTAGTCAAACTAACCGAATCATCTTGATGGTGCTAGCTTGTGGTGGTTTTGCCCCCCCAAAATACTGACATTTGCTGGCTTCTGCACCACATTTACAATGGAGTAATACCATATTGATATAGTCTGCTTTTGTTTGGATGTTGGTATAATATATGCGTTTCAAAAGAAGGTATCCAGTTATCTCTTTTTATATAAGAATACTGAATCAGCACTAAAGAAGTGGAGCCTTGCTGAGTGTGTGATACTATCATGTGTTGACCCGGTTACTTAAATGCTGAGCAAGGTACTGACACACACATGCACTGCACACCACGCCGCTTCCTTCCCTTGGTTTAGGAGACGGTCAAACAAAAGGCAGAGTACACTTGGAAGCAAACCAAGATTCACGTTTTCACCTATTTGGTCCGCACCAGGGTTTATTTGAGCTTTCACACTACTCCAAACCAACCAGACTATCAGAGACTAAAAGACCAAGGTTTGTTTAAAGTGTACCAACAGCTCTGTTGTGAATGTGACTTTTGATTGCACAGTCTCAGTACATCAAGTGTGAGCTTTGGTTTTGCATCAAAATTGATTAACTTGTATGAAGTTCACTTCTATTCACAACGATGAGAAAATTGTAGAGCATAGGTCTGGACAGTGGAATTAAAGGGCCTAGCTTAGTCACTCCTTTCTCCATTGTCTGAACCAGTACTAGTTTCCTAGAATCCAATAAAAGTTTCCTGAAATGTCTAACTGCTCTTCATCAAAAGTGTTGTTTATTGAACCGCATGTAGTTAAGACTCTTGGTTTCTGGTAATAAATCCCTGTGGTTTTAGTGGCCCATCCACCTTGACCATTTCCCTGCTGCATATAAAAATCTTCTAATTCAAAGCCAAATATGTGAGCAGTTCTTTAAATCATAAATGATCAGTTAAATGCCATCTGTTCCTTATAAAAAAAAAGACATCATTGCATTTCTAGCCTGTTGAGAAATGTGATTCAATGTCTCCTACTTAAAATCAGCTTCAGTTTGTTTGACCCTTTCTTCTGACTTTCCTTGTTTTTGGTTTGCTTTTTCTCTCCTCTCTTCTCCTGCCTCTGTCTCTGTTTTTATTGCATAATTTGCTCACAAAATCCTCTGATCTGTTCAGCTCCAAAGGCTCCTGATGATACATGAATTATGGAATTGGACATTATTCAATATTCTTTCATGCTGCTCTTTACATTGTGCTGCTATGAATTTATTGGTAGGAATGCAGATGGGAATAAAACATGATAGGATCCTGATTTGTAGTTGCAAAGTCTGATGCAATATTTGCTTACAGCAATTCGGTGCAGCTAGTGTTCAGTTCCACTTTAAACACGCTGCTCCCCTATGGAGTTCTGTAGAATAATGCATATTCAAATATGCGCATACTGTCACGCTCAAAATGTCACAGTTACTCTTTGGATCTCTATGGAGTGAACACATTAGCACTGTTTGTGTGTTGTGTTGTTTCTTGTTGCTGTGCAAACACAATTTAGAGCCTAGCTGAGTCCCACTGAGTTAAACCACACATGGTTGCATATTCATGGACACAGTGGATATACATTTGTGACTCTCCTGTTTTGTATAATCCTTGTGGAACATGTCCATGTGTGTTTGGCTCTTTCTGTCAGCAGAGGTGGTCAGTATGATATAAATAAATAAATCAATAAATAAATAAATGCTCAAATCTTAGCTGTCTAGCGTGATTAGAGACTCATATACACACCACCTGGGCTGAATTTGGCCAGTGGACTCGCTCAACCCAAATGAGTGACATGCACGACCAGCTCTGGCTTCTTAATGAATTAGTCATAACTGCCATCATCAATCAATCAATCTATCAATCTCTCAGTCACTCCTGCAGGGCCGCTATGAAGGCATGCATTATGCATGGTGTGTTAGTCTGAAAAGGGAGACAAACTGCTCATTTCACATGCACAAGTTTGTGTGGAGCTTTAGAGCACCTTAGGTAAGCTTATGATGTGCTAACGTTTGGTGATGCTAACTGCCAGGCACCAGCTGCACGAGTGAGTTTAGCTCTGTGATGGAGTGACTTGCAGCTATCTTTCCCCCCTGACAGAAGAAGGCCATCATTTGATTTTCAAATGTTTCCTCTGTTTGTCTGTCAAGAGCAAAACCTGTCACCCTTGATGTGGGGAGCTGAAAAACGTCAACCTCAAAGTAGTTTTGTTTAATACAAATAGTTTATTTACAGTTTTAATATTTTTTTCCCCCCAACAAATTTAAAAAGAATTGTTATTAACAGTTTTGTTAGAGGTGATAGTTGACTGCACAATAATTTCTATGTTGTTTTGCATCCCTCACTTGTGCTGTTGGCTTATGTCTTAGCCCTGCCCACCAGAGATGCTCAAATAGATCCAAGGAAATGAAGAGAGGAGTCAGTAAACTTGTTACAAGAATCATGAGACGTCCTTTTACCCAGTGTGACGTGAAGTTGTAAGTCATTCCTTAAACAACGTTAACGTCAGAAGAAGTCACTGTCTGGCGCTTTTCTTAGGTTAGTTGAGAAGATGAGTACATGATGAGTGCACACCATGATTGAGCTCCCGTAATTTATTTTTCCTTGATTCCTGACTCAGTTAACAGTGAGTACCGTGAGGCCGCTTTGTCATGTATGATATCACTGACATGAGGTGAAACAGATACGCAATGCTGACGGAATGCACTCCATACGGACCATGTATGTTTTCGGCTTAACTGTATTCTATCTCTGTGTGTTACAAGTAAAAAAAAAAAAACACAAAACAAACAAACTTGATTATTGATTTATGACAGTTATGTTCAATATTTTGTGCTTAAAACTCATGTTTGACATTTTTAATCTCAGCGCATTACGTACCAACACTTAAAATCAAAGGGACTGACTATTTTAAGGCCCCTCTCTTCCACATTAGTGAACTCTGGTCATGTAAACTTTCAGTTACATCCACTCCTGTTTCTATGAAATCAAGCCTTATTCAAGTTAATGCATTCTAATACATGTTTCTGTTGTGCTCAGATCGCAGGCGGGAATGAGAGGCAAGGCTGGGGTAGATTTGGGTATTTTTTGTTTCTTTGATTCTTTTGTGCTACATGGTTTTGTGCTATACAAATAAATACTGATTGATTGATTGATTGATTGATTGATTGATTGATGTCCAGTGTGCTGCAGCATCCATTCAGTAAGTGATATTCGATTCTTTGTCAGTGAAAAGATTTCCGCAAAGACTGCTCTCTTGTCTCCTCTCTCACCACTTCTTGCCCATTCCTCTCTCCTTTCTCCTGCTACCAGTTTGGCGGAGGACAGAGGAGACTGTGTTATCAGCTTTTGGATGGGGACAATATTCCCATAAGGCAAAGACTTTGGTCCACAGATAAGATTTACTGTAAGTCCTCAGAGGTTTGAAAACACTGTGAATGGATACACACACAAAAAAACCTCACCGAGTACAAATACTATCGGAGCCCTTAATAGAATTTGTCTAAATAAATGTATTAAAACAAACAAGTCATAAGCTGATTTTTCATCCTTTTGTACTGTGAAAACATGATACAATACACCAGCAAGAGAGCAGTTTCAAGCCAGCACAGTGTTGTTATTTGTCAAAGACTGTTACAGCTGGCTTTTACCGATGCCAGTGTATTCACTTTTGGATGTAGTACATATTTAAGAAGTGAATAAACTTCAGCAGTTATTACGCGCTTTGTTCTGACTGTCTCAACTCTTTGGAATCACTAGGAGCTTGTTGCAAAGTCTGAGGTCAAACAGCGAGATGAAATATGTAATGTGTATCCTCAGCAAAAAATGCTTTGACTCGCTCACTTCACACCTCGGCCTTCCATCCTGCTTTTGGTGGATTCATAATTAATGATCTATGAATGAATAATGCATTTTCATTTCACCCTCTCCAGTAAAACAAGAATTTCTGGCGTGTGACCATGTCCACTCAAGTTAACACAACTGTGTTCCTCTCGACAATGGATACTGTTCTCTATTTTCTTCTCTTTCTCCTTTCCTTCTTCTCCTCCCTCCCCTCTTGTCCTCTTTTCTTCTCCCCTCTTCTTCTGTCCTTGCACCCCCTCCTGCATTGATTTTTCTGTTGCTAGCAATGCATTTTCCATACACCTGCTTACCTCCATGCACCAGAATCACCTTTTTTTCAGTCCCCTCACTGATCATCCTCTCGCTCGTACCATCTCCAGCCCAAAAGAGAGACGATCCATTAATCAGCAAATAGTGCATTACCTTTGTAATTAACATTCAACTGAGTTTCACCCAGTAATATTTCATTAGTTTATATGCAAATAATTTTGAGCGATTGCCTCATTTGGTCTGTGAGTGCAATGATATATTGGTCTGTGGATGGAGTGTGTGTGTGTGTGTATATATGTGTGTATGCTGAAGTGTGCATTTGTGTGTGTGTGTAAGTGTGCCCGCACTCGTACTGTAGGTTAACGCATTTTCATGAACTCTCTCCATCTCTCTGTCTTTCTAATACACATACACTTTCTCTCCGTCACAAACACACATGCAAATACACACACATGATAGATTGCTTGGCCATATATCCTTGTGCTGGATTTTTTAAAGGCATTAAGCTCTTTACTCACATTGAACTAATTTCAGATTCACTGCACTCCATCAAACCTGAGCTGACTGTAAAAAGCTCAGTCAATTCCTCTCAGTTTACCTGAGATACATCTGCACATACACGAGAGTTGCACCTTTAAAAGTGCTGCCAGTTCTGCATGTTTTATTTAACATAAGGATGAAAAGGCGGTTAAAGCTCCCTGTGATCCATGTTTATTTCAGTTCATTTGCATTCCTTATTTTGGTCACTTAAAGGCCATGCAGCCTTGTAAGTGAGTCTAGCAGTTTGTATTGACTTCAGGTCTGTGAGCATTATAATAATGATCATTATTACTTTGTAAAGTCTGGTGGAAGAGTGAAGAAGAAAAGAACAGAGAAACGATTTTAATATGAAACAATCTTGACCAGCTTCTGAATAATAATTGCCTTTGCTTGTGTTGCTAACAATACCCTCAGTACAACTCTGCTGCATTACAGTACACATCTTTATATTATAGTCCAGTAATGGATGATGAGTAAAGAGTTTGACCTGGTAATCAACCACACTTTCACAGCAGCATATCTCCTCTTTTACCATGTTCCAAGCACTGGTTGGAAACCTAAAATGTTGTTGTCATACTTTAATGCTTTCTTCAGGTATGCATTTACTGTTGAGGTACACACTACTGCAATAGGACAATGATCATCTGTAACACAGCGGGGTATTTTGTTACCGTTGCTACTTGCATTACATAAGGCTTTTTGAACTGTCTCCAAACATGAGGACAGAAAAACACAAATCAAACATCCTTTTTGCATGTACACTCCTTGAAAGTCTACCTGGATGTGTCTGTGACTTAAACTCAAGTTCATAGATGAGGAGAGAAGCAACGGCAGAGCAGCTCGACCAAAGGCATATTTTCAGGCTTGGGTTTATGCATATTTCTTTAAGCTTTGTTTCATGTAAGGACCAGGATGGGTTAGTTCAGTGGAAACTGCATCCAGGCCAGAAATAACTTTCCACCTCCGTCGAGTAGACAACAAATGCATACCACTTGACATTTCCATAGATGCCTTAGACGTTGTTCGCCTTTTACCTGAGTGAAAGTTGAGTCAGTGTCTGACAGTGTAACCTCTTGCCTGCCATTAACAGAAATCCATTCAGCATGCGTTCATGCATTGCTGAGCCATGCAATCAGGTACGCGCCAACAAGCAGGGGTACATTCAGACTTTTGCTGTCGGGCGGCCCAATGGTGGCACTGATCTACATGTGGGCCCACGTGTGAGTAAATAACAATCATTATTGTGGCATCAATGTCCTACCCAAACCTTTGGATTGAAGAAATTAAGCTGATGTAGAACTGCCTAAAATTGCTGTTCTCTGAGTGCACACTTGAGACTGGCTGCAGAAACCACATACACACATACAAGCTGAAAAGGACATTTTAGAGCAGAGATAAACAATTTTTTGTAACATATTTGGTTCAAGGTTATGAAGGAAAACAGATTGGTAGATCAGGGGCACACTGTCAGGAGACTCAGGGCCTGCCTTTTTTAGGTTCACCAAATATGGTGACATGCACAGTAGCTCCAAGTCATAGAATCGCCAAGAATCTGAGGTGGTCTTTCCATTGTACCATAATAAATGTAAACTTTAACACCAGTTAGAAACTGTCTGGATGCTTATGTTGTGATCTTCTTGACAAACGTGTGTTAAAATAATCTAGCAGAAACAGGCTGTCTGTTTTCAATCTGCTAATTGGGTACTTGCAGTAACAGGTTCAACCCTAATGATGCAAAGCTTTGCACAACTCTTAGTCGTTGTACTTTCAAACATAAAAAAGTGTCTCCCAAACAGAGCATATATAGGAATCAAGAAACAAGTGATTTAAATCAAAACTGTAATTTGAAATTGGTGGTAAACGTGTATTTTTTTCTGCAATACTGTGCATTTCAAGGTGAGTGTTAAGAGGGATCCTTTGGCCTCTGTAGCCAGCACTAAGTTGAACCTTAAGAAAAATGTCTTTTTGCACTTGAGTTGCTTCATTTTTCTTCACTGGTGGTTGCCATTTCTTTTTGGCTTAGAGCAATAGCTTGAGTATAACATGAGTGACATATCACCAAAGAAAATCAAAGATGTCATTCTGATATTTAAGCCACCGATACCATAGACGTAAACTTTACTTGGCCTTTGGCGATGGTTTACATGATGCAGTTCATGTGGTGTGCTGCCCTAGAGCCTGGTTCATCTCTGGGACTCCCGGTTCCAGAAGGACACCCTCCCGCACTTCACCCTTTCCAGTGTCTGATTGTTTGACAGGCAACTTTATATTTTAACTTATCATCTTTTATTTTACTGATATAAAATGGATGTAACAAGAAAGAGACAGTAGGAGTAAGAACGTGCACATGTCAGTGTTACTGTGTACTCATTTATAATGCAACTTGTCAAAGAGGTGAAGTGATATTGGATGTGATACATGTCAAAAACTGGTCTTCACGACAACTCAAGTGCAGACATAACCAGAAGGGACAGATAACTCCTCTATATATATATATATGTGTGCATGAGAACACACACACCTGTGCTGCATGTTCATACATTCAGCTTTGCCATTTTCAAAGCAACCTAATGCTTGTGTCTGCAGCATCAAATCTTTGCCTTATCAGACAGAATAACTATGTAGAAGGCACTCAGTGAAGGTTGGTAATTATGTGAGATTACGGGAGGTGAGGACAGGAAATAGATCACCTTTCGCAGAATGTTACAGAATTCTCCAAAATTACATTCAATTTAATGTCTAGTCAGACTTAAATTGCCTTCCTTGGTAAATCTGTTGGCTGGTGGGTTCCAGGAAGGAAGTATTTATTTTCCCTTCTTCTTCAGTTTGAGATTGTATAAATAATAAATTGAATAAATGACTTCATATTTCCATTTTATTTAAGGTGCGGCACTTTTTAACAAAGTTAAAACTAAATTACAAATACCAAGGTAAAACGTTTAATTAATTTGAAAGTAAACAGCATTAAAATGAGAAAATGTAATGAAGCATGTTGAAGACAGTTTTTAAGATACAGATTGCATTTTTCAAAAACCTTTTTTCCTTGAAGGTGGGATTTTTTTTATTTTTATGATTTTTATAAGTAGGTTTATGAGGTACTTGTTAGTAGTAAGTGTATCACCCACACAAGATGCTGATCAGCTCAGTCCCAATGTTGAGAAACTGGTTAGAGAGCGCAAGAATATCATCTGCTGCAGACATGTAGTTTAACTAGTTATTTTGAAACTCTGACCCAAATGTTGGTGTAAATATGAGCTTCATTTAGCGATTTTTTAGTGCTTTACTTTGCTTTAAAAAGGCTCTCCACTCTGTCACTATTCACAGATGCGACACAAATGTGCTCCTTCGCATGAAGCCCACAGATCTGCTTATGTGGCAGGCAGCACCTTGCTGCTGTTGAATGCAGCCCTCCCTCCTCCTCTAACCCCTCCCTTCCCCTAATCAGGTCAGCTGCATAAAAGGCAGCAGCTCACCTGCAGTCGGCCTTCTGATCTGCTCAGAGTGTTGGTGAGTAGGGTGGCTGGTAACTTTTAATCCTTAAGCCGCGTTCAGACCAGCCGCGACCTGACGCGACTTGGCGACCGCCGGCTTCCTGCGACGCGACCATGCGCGACCGGGCGACCGGGCGCGACCGGTCGCCAAGGCGCGTCCCCGAGGTCGCGTCGCCGAGGTCGCAGGACGCCAAGTCGCGTCGCTCCCAAAGTTCAAATATTTGAACTTTGGGAGCGACTCCGTGCCGCGACAGCCAATCAGGGCTCTGCTGACGTCAACAAACCGGCGAAACAAGGAAGAGGAGAAGAAGAATCACAATGGAGGAGCAGTTAATCACATCCGTTAGCTACCACCCGGTGCTATACGACGTGGGTTGCGGGCTGTACCGGGACCGCAACGCCAAAGAAGAAGCATCTCAGTTTCGGAGCGCCTGTATTTCGTGTCCAGGCGGGAGATGCTGCTTCCCATCCGGGCGAGGAGGTCCTCGAACTGCGCCGTCGACACACGGAAGTACCGCTGGAAGCGGCCGTCGTCCAGGCGGAGTTCCTGGAGCAAGCGGTGAAATTCACCCAGCTCCGTCCTCCTCCGGATGGTTTCATGCACCCATAAACGCCGGCGGCGTATACTGCGGATGTACAGATATGCGGCAGCACTGATGAACTGAAAACTGAGCTAGTGACATGGATGACGTCACCTGCGACCAGCCGCGACCTGCGACTGCAGCTTTGGACCCGGTGTTGACACACCAGGGCACCACGCGACGCGACCTGACCGACCAACGCGACGCGACGCGACCTGGTCGCGTTTGGTCTGAACGCGGCTTTAGAGTTTTATGATTGCTTTTAACAGCATGTCTTTTTTTGTTTGTAGGTGGTAGACCTGCTGCTGTTTTGTTGCCCCCCATTAATTATAGTTATTTTAGCCTGTTTACTTTGGTTGTTTCTGCCCTTTTGATTGATTTTCCCCCTTACTTGGTTTGTTTCTACTTCTAAGTTTGGTTGTTTTACACAGTTACTCCCCCATTAGTTTGCATTCTGTTCTTAGTTACCCTTAGTTGCTTTTCTCCTTAGTGCCTCTAGTTTACCAACTGGGTTCGCTGTTGTTGGTTTGTTTGATTCTTTGGTTAATCCTTTTAATTTATTTCAGAAGTTGAGCCCACTAGTTTGGGAGGCTAGGCACCCCAGGTGAGGGCCCTCCACCTTTGCATGAGTTTGACACGGGGTCACAAGACTACACCGATTTGTTTCTTTTGTTGAAGGTTTGCAGTGTGTGTGCTGTGCTTCACTTGGTGAGTATAAGGGAGCACCCCCCTGCCTCAGCTTATCTTAAGTTAACTTAGTTTGGGTTTCTTTGATTTAGTTTAAGTTGGGGTTATTGTACTTTCTAACTTTTGTAGAAGGCCTTGTTTTAAATTTTATTATAGAAATAAAATTAACTTTCTTGCCCCTTATCTGTGTTTTGTTATGTTGTTTTAACTTTATCCCTTTCTTTCCCTCCTAGGTTAAATTTCTCAGTTATATTTATGTTTAACTTCATTTTTTTTGATCTAATAAACATTTTGAAATATTTTGAACTCTGTCTCTGCCTCTTCAGAACTTACCTGTGTTGCCTTATTCTTATTTTAGCTTCCTGTTTTAGTTTGAAAGTACAGTTTCCTGGGGTGCAAGTCCCCAGGTGGCGTTGCTGGTTGGAGACAATATTCTCTATTTTTGAATAAAATAGCACCCCCTTGCCACACTTATAAAGGTTTATGATGTACAGTAAGCTTCACCTCTTCCCGGTACATTTTTATTTTGTGATGTTTTGCACAGCAGTTTGACATAATTAAAATAAGCAAATGCCAAACATTTTCTGACCACAGCCATATGTGAGCTGCTTGCATCCTCTGATCCAGAAAGCTCCAAATGCACTGTTGTCACCAGATCTCACTCATGATAGCAGTCAGATCTCTTGATTCTTGGGCTTGCAGTTCACCTGTTGGGATCAGAGGTTTGAGGCTTGCTCTCTCACTCCAGGGAGGAAGCTTTGTTATATCCAGTTTCATGTTTTTTTTACATCTGTCAGGACTTAACTTCATGATTAACTGCCAACACAATTCCCCCTCTCAATCCAGTTGATCTGTAGAAAGCTTCACCTTCTCTTTGATTTGAATTGGCACCGTTGATTGATTGATTGATTGATGTGGATGAAATTGAGCCTCAGGAGGAGAGTGCAGCTCTGTGCAGCAGAAAGTATAGGGGTCAAACACTAAACAAGAGCTGATTGTAGTGAGCTGCAATAGATGTATTAGTGTCTTTGCCTTCGCTGTGTTTTGTTTGTTTACTGGTTTTTATGTTCATTTAACCTCTACTTAGCCAGGTTAGTCCCATTGACAGCATAGATTGATTTTCCAAGAGAGATCTTGCCAAGTAACAGCAACGCAAAGTGTCAGCAACAAAACATTCACACTAATGCAACTGGACTGACAAGTAAATGAAAACAATAAAAGAAGTCAGCTAGAAGAACTGCTTACAGAGAGACTAACTTTTAACTAGGGATTTAAATAGTCAGGTTAACTCAGTTTTGCACTGTAAAAATCATAAGTTAAGTTTTGGCACACAGTAAAATATAAAGCTATGGATGTTGGCACATTACTATTACTACAACTTCTACTTCTACTACTGCTGCTGCTCCTTCCCATCCTCTGTCTCCCTCTTCTCCCTCCTTTTACCCAGAGAGGGGTCATACAGTCTGATGGCATGAGGGTCAAAGGAGTTTTCAGTCCGTGTGGCTAATATAGCTGAAGGCTAACAGCTCCAGGTCGGGACAACATACACTCACCGGCCACTTTATTAGGTACACCATGCTAGTAACGGGTTGGACCCCCTTTTGCCTTCAGAACGGCCTCAATTCTTCGTGGCATAGATTCAACAAGGTGCTGGAAGCATTCCTCAGAGAGCTTGGTCCATATTGACATGATGGCATCACACAGTTGCCGCAGATTTGTCGGCTGCACATCCATGATGCAAATCTCCCGTTCCACCACATCCCAAAGATGCTCTATTGGATTGATATCTGGTGACTGTGGAGGCCATTTGAGTACAGTGAACTCATTGTCATGTTCAAGAAACCAGTCTGAGATGATTCCAGCTTTATGACATGGCGCATTATCCTGCTGAAAGTAGCCATCAGAAGTTGGGTACATTGTGGTCATAAAGGGATGGACATGGTCAGCAACAATACTCAGGTAGGCTGTGGCGTTGCAACGATGCTCAATTAGTACCAAGGGGCCCAAAGAGTGCCAAGAAAATATTCCCCACACCATGACACCACCACCACCAGCCTGAACCGTTGATACAAGGCAGGATGGATCCATGCTTTCATGTTGTTGACGCCAAATTCTGACCCTACCATCCGAATGTCGCAGCAGAAATCGAGACTCATCAGACCAGGCAACGTTTTTCCAATCTTCTATTGTCCAATTTCGATGAGCTTGTGCAAATTGTAGCCTCAGTTTCCTGTTCTTAGCTGAAAGGAGTGGCACCCGGCGTGGTCTTCTGCTGCTGTAGCCCATCTGCCTCAAAGTTCGACGTACTGTGCGTTCAGAGATGCTCTTCTGCCTACCTTGGTTGTAACGGGTGGTTATTTGAGTCACTGTTGCCTTTCTATCAGCTCGAACCAGTCTGGCCATTCTCCTCTGACCTCTGGCATCAACAAGGCATTTCCGCCCACAGAACTGCCGCTCACTGGATATTTTTTCTTTTTCGGACCATTCTCTGTAAACCCTAGAGATGGTTGTGCGTGAAAATCCCAGTAGATCAGCAGTTTCTGAAATACTCAGACCAGCCCTTCTGGCACCAACAACCATGCCACGTTCAAAGTCACTCAAATCACCTTTCTTCCCTATACTGATGCTCGGTTTGAACTGCAGGAGATTGTCTTGACCATGTCTACATGCCTAAATGCACTAAGTTGCCGCCATGTGATTGGCTGATTAGAAATTAAGTGTTAACGAGCAGTTGGACAGGTGTACCTAATAATGTGGCCGGTGAGTGTATAAGTGCCTTTAAGGAGATATGTCCTAGGCTACACCATTGGTTGTTAACATAAATGATGAGTCTGCCACATTTGCTTTTCCCACATGCTGTAGTGTCTCTGTCAGCTCTCACAGCAGTGAATCCCTGCAGATCCACGTTAGCATCCGGTATGATGTTACTAGCCTTTGGCTTGGCCTGAGCTTTGCAGCCTCTGGATATCCTCCTCAGCTCTGCCGGTATGAAGGGTCATTCCCCAGCTTGTCCCATTGTTTTTAGAGCTAAAATGTCCAATAGAGCTTAAATAATAATAATGCATCAGATTTTTATGGCGCTTTTTGTCAGTGACCTCAAAGCGCTTTACATTGGATACATCATTCATTCACTCACACAGTCACACTCTGGTGGTGGTAAATTACCTTAGTAGTCACAGCTGCACTGGGGCAGACCGACGGTAACGTGGCTGCCAGTTTGCGCCTACAGCCTCTCCACCACACAACACTCCCAATCATTCACTAGTGGAGGACACACATTGGGAGCAAGGTGGATTAAGTGTCTTGCCCAAGGACACAACGGACAGACTGGGGATAGGGCAGGGTTGGAACCGCCAACCCTCAGGTTGTTTGCCGAATGCTCTACCTCCTGAGCTACTGCTGCCTGAAGTAGCTCAGGGGGTAGCTACTCCTGAGCTACTTTAGGTGGTAGCTACTCAGGAAGTCGCTAAATATCCAATAGAGTTACTGGAAAGGCAGCTGCCTTGTACAGCACCATAGCATTATGGGGGAGCACATTGAAGTTAACCTTAATATGAGACACCACTGGTCTAAAAACCAGTGTCATTCAAACACTTCACTGGAAAACCAAGTTATATTATGACCACTGATCAAATTAGTTCTTGTTTCCTGTCTTTTCACTTCAGTCTGTATTTGTACACCCCATCACCCTTACCAGTGACTCTCCCTCTCCAAGTTGTTTCAAAGTCATTTAAAAAAGTAATCAACTCAAACTCCAAACTCAAGAAAAACTTCCAGTCATGCAGCTCAATTTAAGAAACTGATCATCTTTTATAACTTAGATTACATTGGAAACTTTTCTGACACATCTCTATCTGTTCACGCCAAACAGCTCTGACACCCTGAGTTAAATCACTCTGAGGGAGCCATTATGAAGTGATTACACATACTTGTGCAGCACCTCCACATATTCAACAAAAAGAAGTTAACATTGGTTTGAACATTTCTATAAGTGGTGAAGATAACAGACTGTATGTGTGCATGGAGATGATTTACAATATAAATGAGAACATTATTTCATGGCTGTGGGTTTTTTAATCACATCATTAGAGGGGTTCAGTATGAAATACAAAATCTAGTCTTGTTTCATATACATTTCCAAGTTAAGCTTAAGGTATCCGGACTCACAATTTACAAAGCTTTCAAGGGGGTAAGAACATAAAAAAACTGTACATCTGAAAAGTCTAAGATGTCAATGATGAACCAGCTAAACTGCAGCATATCCCCAAGCTTCCAGATTGCCCCACTTCAGACCAACAAATGAAGATCCTTGCTCAGGAAAGAACATCCTCTCTCAAACACAGGAAATGAGTTGACAGCCCCAGATCCATGAAATAAACAGGACACACTCTCACTCACTTACAAAGACAATTTACTCTAAAGTCAAAGTATTAGAAAATACAGTAGCAGACAATAATGAGTTGAAGAGCTTACAGTAGAAGAAGCTATTTGGATTACATTGCATTAGGGATGTATTGTATTATGGGTCTGACTATCAAAATTAAATTAAATAAAACATCCTTTCATTAGATTTTTATGTAGTTGACAACAGTAGTCCCAAGCAATACAAATAAACACTGCGAGATAACTAAAAATGAAATAAATTCTCAAGATTGAGATATAAAATTTAGCTTTTTTGAACAAACGGAGACTTAGGTAAATAAATCAGATGTCATTTGATGAAAAAGTTTGAATAATTTGACTAAAACCACTTTAAATCTAAAATCTGTTTGTTAGATTTCCAATCCAGTTTAAGTGCAGCCAGATCAGCAAGTTGTCGTCCCACAGATCCCCTCCCAGAAACTTCTCTGTGTATGCATGCGTTCCAGTAACACAATTTGTCAGCATCTGTTAGTGTGACATATGTGTGTGTTTGTGTGTTCATGCGTGTGTGTGTTTGTGTGTGACTGCTTCTGCTGCAGCTGACACTTGGGCAATATCATTACATGACAACTGCCAATGTGTCCACCGGGGCTGATTCATTGGCCCTGAGTCTGGGGGCTCGCCCAGGAAAGAAGGCCCTCCATCAAGCTGGAAGTGAGCAGACGCTGGCCTCAAGCTGACAGCTTTCCGATATGCAAACTTTCTCTGTTTATTTATTTGCTTCTTAATGACCCCAGGTTCAAGCCAAGGGGGCTTTTCTTTTTTTCCTTCTGTGAAAAAAAACAACAACGCAGTCATTTTTCCTGTTGATCATTTGTCACCGGCACATCAAAGTCAAGGGCTGGAGTAACTTTGAATAGAAAGTTTGCTCCACACTTGAGATGGATGCCTTTGAAAGTTTACCCTTTAATACCTATAAGTGCTTGTGTCGTTCCTGCCCTCTTTGACACACATTCTGTTACCTCTGCCCACACACCTTCTCCTCTTATTCCCCTTTACTCTCAGCTCCCCCTCCCTCCCTGCTTTAATCAGAGTAATGCCAACCCATCTCAGCGCTAAGGGCTAGGTTAGACAACAAGTCGAGTAATGAGATTACATGCAGACTACAGCACTGCATGCGGTTAAGTTAGCGGAGGTGGTAAGGGGGCAGCCTCCGCTCTTCTGCCTTTGTAAGCTTTTGGAAGGGCACTCAAATGAGTTGGCTGAGCACAAAACATCGCTCCAGCTCTTTCAATTCACGCCTCTCTTTGCGAGTTACCTTTGGCACTTTCCTGAAACGCCTCAAAAGGAGAGAGCTGGCTGTTACTTTGATGTGTTGTTATAACTTCCCCCAGCCCAGTCTTCGAGTGACTCTTGAAGTTGCACTGTCTCAGACTCTCTATGCATCAGACTCTTTGGCTCTTTTCTGCATGTTAATGAACTCTGCAATAATCCGCGTTGGGTTTCTTTGGCAGGGGTTGGCTCAGGACAGACAGCTCAGTGCTTCTCTTATTTTTTGAGACTGTTTCAGTATGGGCAAGCATATGTGTGTCTGCAGTGAGAGACTGGGTGCAGTGGCGGAGTTAGGCTGTCTGAAAGGGAGGGCCAAAATAAAGAAGAAAAGAAGAGGGAGCCAGATATAGCTGGTTGGACACTGATCTGGAAAGAGTTTTAAAAATTCATGGCAAAACAGTCCAAATCCTTTTAAAAGATGACTGTGTTTTCAAGGCTTTTATTTTTACAGCACACTCATATGAATACAACATTTTTATGTGCCTACATTTCACCCAACATTGACAAATAAAATATTCTTCTTATAGTTTTTTTATTGGCATTGAAGAGACATTTCTTGGTGTGTTAATAATAGCAACTATCACAAATCGTGCCCAATGCGTGGTCTGTTTCTGCAGATGGACACATTTCTAACTACTACCATACCAAAGTGAGGCCAAAATACCCCCTGGTTGCAGATGCTGACAATTTGCATCAGTGACATGTTTGGAGCCAGAGTCTGCTTAGTGAGCTGTGGTATTGACATCCTGCCCACTTGGCTTATTAAAGCACACATTTAAGTCACTGATAAAAGCAGCAGAGATCCCTCAGGTCGCTACAGTCTACAGCAGGAAAGATTCTTTGCTTGATTTGGAGCGGACACCCATCGTGATGGAAAGTTTAATGACTCTCGTGTGAGGGTTTGTGCATTTTTATTCTTGTAGCTACACCGCTGCTCTGCTAATCTGTTGCGCACAGCGCCACAGGAGCAGCATGTGTGAAGAGAGCTGTCAATCATGTCATACTCTGTTTTCAGTATCAGTTTACCAATTAAAGCTAAAGATGAAAATCTGGGCAAATATCATGGTGATAAGAACTAACTCCAATATTCCATCAGATCTATGTTTACGGTAGTGGAGCAGAAAGGTTTTCCCTTTAGTCACAGTGTTTCCTTTTACTGTCCAATCCAGAGCTCTTCTCAGCTGATATGCACAGCTTAATTTTTTTGTCACGATGCGCATGATGCATCAATCAGCGCAGGTAAGATTGTGGAAGATGGAAAGTCAGACCCCAAAACAACATAAAACCATCCAATTAATTTAAAATAAATCACCTAATGTTGACACATCATGATTCACTAACTAGACCATCAAACCTCCACAGTAAGCAGAGCCAGGCCTGTTTTCAACAGGTCAGAGGTTTTCAGAGGTCATTTTAAGTCTGTATTTGAAACTGAACATCCTTGGGCTTATGAGTCCAGCAAAACAAGATCGCAAACAGACTGAACATGGACTTCGGTGTTAAACCACAGAGACTGTGTAGGAGAAGGTTTTCCACGATCGATATTTTAATTAAAGCTTGTCCAATCTGTTCACATGGAGGAGGTGCGACTTACATCCACATACTGTATGAAATGTGATTTGGTATTAATGAGTTATTTGATGCTAAAATGATAAGAAAAAAAAAAAAAAAACCTTAACTAACAGACTTTTGTTCCACCCCTATTTCACTTTTTCTCAACTGGACTGATTGTATTATTTCATTTCCTAGCATTGCATGAATTACTGTAACAACAATATTGTTATGATATCCTATGGCCACAATAATGATGATGGGAGAATCTGAAATTGTGACAGCCCTAGTGTGACGTTAGTCTTGCAGCTTCACCAACCAGATGGCTTTTGCACATACTGTAGTTTGGCTCCACCAACACAATATATCAGCGTCCATCAAAGTGGTGTTTTGGCTTCACATCTCATAATGGGAAGAGGCGGAGATCTATTGTTTGACCTATCATAAGATAGTATTTTCATTATTTTTCCTGCCTGATGTTGTCTTTCATTTGCCACCATTTGATTTTTGCAATACTTATCTGTCATGTGAGAAGAGAGTAAGGTTCGAGCATACACACCAGATGAGAGCACAGGGAGGAGGAGACAGCAGGAGACAGTCATGATAAGAAACATCCACTCTTTCAATTACAAGAACAGCAGGCTCACATGTTGACTGACCTATGTCCCTCCAATTTAGGCAAGCTGTAGCCTGATGTAGAGCTGTGTTTCTGTCTTCAGTCTTTGCTTTGTTTTGGTTGAAAATTTTGGGTTGCCATGTCTAAAAGCTATGTTTTGTTTTGGACTTGCCAGTCAGAGTCTACATCCACTACAGCTTTCTGTTTTTACAGACTGGGGATCAAAAAGCACTCTACTCATTCATAGACTAAATATTAAGATACGATTGGTTATAGGATGTGACTGAGAGTTAAAGTATAGCTTAAACACATCTGTATAGTAAAACCACTCTGGGAGCTATTACCTATTAAACCATCTGGGAACATGTACCGGCAAACTCATTTTACAACATGTAGGGCAGACTGCGAGGCGCTGCATTGCATTTTCTCCATTTTTAAGGGCACACTAGAGGGCTTTGTAATGTTCCTAAGTAAGTCAGAGTATCTCATGTAGATAAGAGAGAGAGAAAAAGAAAAAATCTTATCCTTTCTCCGGTCCAGAACTAGACTCATTACACGGCTCTGTTTGCTCTGCCAAAGATCGCTGTCTGCATGTCTTATTGAAGAAGAAGGTTGATACCATCAAACCACTTGAATAATCATACCGCAGCTGTTAACCAGGATCTGCCTTTTCATCATTCATCTGCACCTGAACTGTGTTTGATTTGACTGTGCTCTTCTCCTCTGGTAAAGATGAGTGTGTACTTGGTCGTATATGTGTGTGTGTGTGTGTGTTGACATGCTCACAGGATTCGTGCAGGGAGCTTAAGAGAAAACTATTTCACGTGTTTTATAAGTATGGTAAACAAAATACAAATGCTGTTGGTGTGTGTGTGTGTGTGTGTGCGGGCATTGATGTGATTAAATGTATTGCACCATGCAGGGAATCTTGATCTTGTGAGGGTCAGACTATAGAAGGATTAGACAGGGTATGGAAATACAGGTGCAGATCTCTCTTTGCATGCAAGGAAGAGGAATCAGATTTCTGTGTGTAGGTGTGAGGGAGTATGTGTGTGGGTGTGGGGTTTGTGGGTGTGTGTGTGTGTGTGTACATTGGCTGTTCCCAGAGGAAAGAACTTCAAAGGCACTCAGATTATCTTCTATTAATGCAAATCAGTGCACTGGAAAGGAAGTGAAATATATGAATGCAGGAACACAGACTGTTGTGGAGTGGATAGTTTGGTCTTTTGGCAAACGGGGTTCCATTTAAAACATCTCCTTCTGTTTCATTTTTGGCCCCCTCCCTCCTGACGACTCTCCTGTGGTGAGAACTCTTAGATGCACCTTTCCTACTCTTCATTACGCTCTAATACCTCTGCTGACAACATCATGGATTGGCCTCGTCCTGCCTGGAGCTTGAGTAATCTGCATCTGTGTGTCGCAGATGACCACGACCGATCCCTGTAGGTGATCCATCACCATGGAAACCGGGCGACAGGGACCAACTAGAAATGCAACAATTGATCGATGTGCAAACTGTAATTAAAAGCGCTGCTCTAATAAGTACCGTGGGAGCAATAGCTATCACACATGCAGGGCCAGAGCAGAGGAGAGGAAGAAGATGGAGAGAAGGTGAAGGAGGAGGGGAAGAAGGGAGTGAGGGATAAGAGGGATGGAGATGGATATGGGAGGTATTAAAGATGAGTAGAGTTAGGAGGGAGGGGAGCGAGGGATGCTGGAGGGCTAGAATGAGAAGGCCTGGGTGAGAAGATCAAAGCTCAAGTGTTACGATGGACAGATTGAAAAGCATGGGGTCGGGGGAGGCAGAGGAAGGTGCTGTTGGCAGAATATCTAACAAGCAGCAGCAAAAAAAAAAAAAAAAAGCAGAAGAGGAGAAGGAAGGAGGCCAGGGAGGAGGCTGAGATGAATTGGCTGCAAAGAGAAAAATCATCTTTGAATTATGAAACATTTTACAGGCTTGCTTCTGTTTTGGAGCCTGATGTGGTGCACCCGACCTCTGCATATTTAACTCTGTTTATGACCAGGGGATTGACTCCAAAGATGAGGCGCTGGGGTCGCGTACAAACAAAAAAAAAAAAAAAAAAGAAAAAGTTCAAATGCAGCCCTTTGTCTCCTAATCTCCTTCCATATCTTATGAGGCTGCACCCACAAACACGTCCTAATTAAAATCCATCTTAAGTCCCAGCAACAATAAATCACATATGCATACTTCCCATCATGTGTGGGTTTTGAGTGAACACAAACACATACGCTGAAACACACCAAAGTCATAAACCCAGGGTGGGATATTCTTCTAAATCCCTTCGTAAACAATTAGGCAAGTTATAGAGTGTTTAATGAGATAAAAGAAGATAAAACCTTGTCTTTTGTTTGTCTGTCCGCTGGGACCATGAGCTCCGAGTTAGTTTGTGTTATCAGGATGTCTCCCCTGAGAAGACTGCACGGCTGGAAAGCTCCAGGCATTAACACACACTTGCTTCCATCCCAGGGTGTGTGTGTGTGTGTATGTGTGAGTAGGGGGGGTCTGGCGTGTGGGCGTGTATTTCAACTTCAGCACGATGCTCCAGGTATAAACGAAGTATCAAGTTTATTCAATTTGTCCTTTTTATTTAGCTTGGCTCTTCCCTGTGTTTGCGTTAGTGTGTGTGAGTGTGTGTGTGTGTTTTCCCTCTCGCTCTCCAGGCCTCCTTCTCCCCAAGCCCTGAATACATGTACGGCATCTTCTCTGAACCCCACACGCCTTCAAACAACAGCACAGCAGAGACACGTTTAAGTTGCCCAGGAGGCGGCAAATTAAACAAAGCTGTGAAGGAGAAATTCCTCCCTCTCCCTTTTCATTTGAATTTGTGATTGCTTGCTGTGTAGCTGCTGTCTGCCCGTACACATTGGGAAGCATGAAATGAGAGGTGTTTATTGAGACTCATGTGGTGTTAAGCGGACAGGATACAGTGAAATCTCATTTTCATTCACACCAGCCGGAGCTCATTCAAAACAATGCACCAGGAGCTCCTGCTACAACGGACCAGGAATCACATAAAAACAGTTTACAAAATTACTCCTGCTATAACAGCCACCGCTTCCTCTCCCTCTGCCCATCTGCCTGCTTTTCTATCAAGTTCATCTCCATCTTTCTCCTCTCTTATCAACCCTTCCCACAAAGTCCGCGCTGATAGTCCTCACATCATACACTCATCAAGAGAAAAAGGCCTTTTCTGTCCTTTCACAAGTCTAAAAAGATCCCATCCACGCCCGAAACGTCTACAAATATTTTGCCCCATAAATGATTCATACATCTTTGCATCTGATGGCTGAATTCATGTCCTTGTTTACTTGTTCTTCCCCCCACTTTAAAATGTGATAGGACTTTTTTTTTATACACAAGACTGCAATTACCAGGGCGCAGAATAGCCAGGGAGGAAAAAGCAGAAATGTCACCACACTCGACTGAGCTAAACTGGCTAAACGATGACAAGCACTCTGCCTGTCAGATAAACAGACTAACAGGCATCCGGGTTTGAACGTACACTTCAGGATTCCTCATTAAGAGAGGCTAATGCGGACATTCGGCACGGCAAATTGGCAAGACATCAAACCTTGTGTGTTATGGGATGAGGGTAGGGGCTTCAGTCCATGAGATCATAAACCCTCATGATCATATAATTTGACAGGCGCCTCTTCCTGTGACATCAAGGGGTAATATGTGCGAGGGTCACATATATTTCTCTCTAATAAAAGGAGATGAAAGATCATGCTTTCTTTTGATTTTTATTGACACTTCTCAATGCAGTGTCACTTGAAAACTGCACCCTCTGCTACTTTGAAGGTTAAAGGTCATGCTGCGGATAATAGTGCCATCTCTGAGTTTTTATTTTCTGCACAGTAGCAGTTTTCGGTGCCAGTGTCACATTGTTTTTCCTCAACCTGTCCCAGAGCTGCATGTGTCTTTTTTCCTCCCTCCTTTTCCTCTCTCCACTCCCCCTTTACTAATTTGTGTCGCGGCTAATGACACATTCATCTTCGGTCACCTTCAATGCAGAGCTGTTCTTGACAAATGTTCTCGCTTTCTAGAGGCCGCCAGTGTCAAAACATCAGAGAGGGAGAGTGGCAGAATAAATACCAACAACGGATGCTTCCTTCAGGATAATCACCACTGCTGCTGGCCTGCTCCTGGCACTCGGCACCCTGCTTGATTTGCACAGCTTGTGTGTGTGAGTGTGTGAGTGTGTGAGTGTGGTTGTCTTTTTCGGGTGCATGCAAGCTTGCAACTCTGTGTGATTAATCTATACTGAGTGAAAGGTAGGGTGCAATCAGCGCTCCATTTGTGAATACCAAAGGGCTCCGTGACCATGAAGGGGAAACGGGAAATAGGAGATGGCGTGTCCAGTGTTTTGGCAGGGTAATGGAGCCTAAGAAGTCATTTAGGACCAGCTCTGCCCTGTCACATGCCTGTCACACCGCTGGCTCGGCGGTGTCACATCCAATGTGCGTCTGGTTGAGCGCCGCGCGGCACACTGGCATCTCTCATAGTCCTGCGTCAGTCAAAGACAACACACATGACAATCAAAAATACACACAAACCCACTAGCGCACATGTGTACGTTACATTATGGAGAAAAAAAAAAGAAAAACAGGGAACGGCGCTGCAGTGACCCCGTCAAGCCATCAAATGTGTCCCTGCCAGATAAACATCCTCTAGACACTGTGACATTTTCCCCAACACAAGCCGAGTGTGAAGTCTGCAAACGTGCATGGCTGTGAGTGCATGTGTTGATGTGTGCATGTCTGTCTGAGTGTTTTATTTATGCATGCAGAAATACCAGGCCTTTCATATAAAGAGCGGAATGGATGTATGACCCTGTTGTAATGGGTAATAAATCACCCCTCATGAAGGATGAGCGCTGCTTTTATTTATTTATTTTTTGGGTAACTCGACACCCTAAAATGTTACCATTAGCATTTTTGTTGTGTCAAGTCTATAAATGACAGTAAGATTTATGCAAAGACAGTGAGATGATGCCAGTTGTTTGTGGCATGGTCATGAGAGTCATGTCAAAGCTGCCGGGTTTTGATCAATGGAAAAAGAGCAGCAAGTTGACTTCATCTGGTTTGACGTCTGCTTTTAGCTCCCCGTCAAGCTGAATTGAAATATTTGGTATTTGTCTTTCTATATGCTGTGTGAAGAGAGATACTTGTCCCGCTGACACACTTTGTACCAAGTGTTTAACAATTTAAATCCTCTGACAGCAAACAGTTTTGCTATGTCTTTGAAATTAGAAGTTATCCCTGTCAGTGCCTGCAGTATATTTTTATTGGACTGACTTAACAGCCTTCTTCATTTCAGCAGACATAAACTAAACACTCTTGGTGTAAGTACAGATTGTAAGACAATTTACAATATTTCCTGTTTTATGTTTTCACCCAGGCACCAATGCAATCAATCCAGACCAGGCAAACTGAAGCCCAGCAGTGTGCCTCTCAGTCAGACCACCTCCAAAGGTTTCACTTTCACTCTCCAAAGTCCTTCTTCTTCCCTGGTATTCCATTTGTCGTCCTCCTCCCTCTCCACACCCTGAGCGAGGTTGAATTAATGTTTGACTGTGGGAGACTTGTAGATGGCAAATGTTCACATTCATTATGCATGACTTCCATGTTGCTGTTAATTTCTCGGAGCCAGCCAAGTCGAGGAAATGATTTTGTACATTATGTTTGTTTAATGAAATTGTCACACTAATGGAAGTGAGGCTGAATAAGATGGAGATGACTGTTTCTGTTTGTCGTTTTTATGACCTCTTTTTTTTCCCCTCCTCAACCAGTTTTCACATCATCACCCTCACCGGGTATTTATGGTCCGATGCAATACTCAAGGAGCTGCGAAATATAGTAGGAGAAATTCTGCTGGATCCCTCAATCATTCATCTGCTCACAGTTGGTGGCAGCCTCAGCATGTCTTCATGCATTTCTGGAAATACTTGATCTATATGAGTGCAGGCGCAAAGTTCTAAGCAGGAGTTTAAGTTTGACTGCAGTCTGAACTTAATGCACTTTTATTCAAAGTTTGCGTGTGCTCTCTGAATGCGGAGGATTCCTATGTGCTGTGTGTGTGTGTGAATAATTTAGCTGTCTGTAAGCCGTCTCTAGCCATAGATCTCTTCAAGCAACATGCTTTATCTCACCCTCTCTGCACCAGACAGAGTAAATCTACAAGGCTAATCACAGCTCCATGTTTCTTCACCTCAAAATCAGTCCTTACACCCTCTTACATCATCTGATAAACACTAACTTGTTGATTAGGCTCGGTTTGTGCCTCTCAAGCAGTACTATTTCATCTGAGTCACAGAGCTTAGGATGGATCAGGTTTTTCCAAAAACTCATAACTAACAATGAGAAATCAAGAAAGTAGTTGAGCAACACTTAAGGCTGTTATGAAGCCCTCAGAGACTCATTTTACTATCAAGATTAGACAACATCCAGTCTTTCGCAAAACACATCGAGGTTTTCAACCCATTTCACAACAATGGCGTTAATTATAGCAATTATTTCAGATTCAACCCATCATATAAAAATAAGAACTATTTTAAGTATTAGACATATTTAAGATTTTATTTTAACTTTTAAACTTCCAGCAACCTAAGGCGTGGACAACTCTAAAAAGTATGTGTACATCAGTTCGGGGAGTGAAACTATGGAATGGGTTACCAGAAGAGATTAATATAAGCAAACATATTTATCATTTCAAAAAAATGTTTATAAAATTCAAACTTGAAGGATATGGACAAACCTTGGATGCATAAGGGCAGGTTAAGGGTCTTTGAAGGTTTTGTATTTCTGAGTATGACAGTTCTGATATAGTCATGTGGTCTTAAGGCTTTATGTGTTCTTGATTTGAAAAATGATTGCGCAAATATTTGCAAGTAAATGTTGTGCATTCCAAATCAATATAAACATTGGTGCTATTTTTCTCAATATCTATTTTACATTTATTTGTTAATGTTTTCTTTTCTTTTATGTTATGAGGTACAAATGATGTAAAGCAACCCATTTTCACTGTGTGATCTGTTTCACTCAATCGTGTTTGCTCATCTATATCTATCTAATCATGTCTCAAATTGTCTCTGTATTATCTACCGGTATTGTTATTGAGGTTGTCTCTACACCTTGATTGATTGTGTCACAGTGGCTAGGTTCCTCATAAGCCTTGGCTTCTTACCTATCCTTTTCTTATGTATATGTTTTGTCATTCATATGAAATAAACAAATCAATCAAAAAAAAAAAACTTTTGGAGTTTGTATGTTCACCATGTTCAAGAGTCAGTAAGTCTTGATTGTTACATTTAAGTCATGAAATTAGGCAAAGATTCAAGTTATGTCTCTTCAGAATGATTTAATAAGCCTACCAGAAATTACTACCAAGGTTATACAAAGTGTACAAGTGTGCAAAATATCACCAATTTAGTCCAACAGCCCACCAAGGCACACACATTTTAGTGCTGTTGATAAAAATTAGGGTATCATTTTTTATTATAACTAATTATACCTTAGGAGTAACCAAGTGAAGAGTTTAGACCAGTCTAATTTCACCAGTGAAATCAGGGTAAATGTCCTGTCTCCTGACAAAAAATAAGTTCAACGTGTGCATACTTCACTTTTTAACCCAACTGAGGCTGCTTTTCAGTAGTTGCATTGTCATATGTCCTCATATTCAGTTGAAGCTTTTTGATGATAATTATCTGAAACTTGATGAAAAAAAAAAAAAAAAAATTATATTTGGTTTATCCAAAGACTGTATATATAACGGACAGCGTCTCCCTCCTCGCTGGGTGAAGCCACTCAGAGAACAGCATCTTCTGGTGACAGGCTGCAGTATAGGTTATAAGTCCCGCCTCCTCCAGCAAAGCATATGGAGCTGTGGACAAACTTTTTTATTACACCGATTTTTTCCTCCCTGGTTGCAATGTTGACACATAGTTATTGTAAAACTGGTTTGTGCTCAATTCCTCATTTTTCTGTACAGCTCCATTTTTAAAAGTTAATAGGGGGTTCATGTTTCTATGATTGACAGTTGATACAGCCTATGGACTTACAAGGAATTGCGTAGCTCACCCGGGGGATACGCTGTTTGAGCTGAGCGTCATCACAGCGACTCTGGCCACTCTCCCACCGAATGTGTACAATGCGACTGCGCAAGTGGTGAAGCACGTACAACGCTACTGTGCAATGCTGGTTTCAGAAAGGGAGAAAAAACACAGAATTACAGAGAGCTTTTTCGCTTCAAATTCGTTTACTGGTGGAAGGCGAAACCAAGTTGTCGATAGTATATACAGTCTATGGGTTTATCATCTGACTCTCATAAAGCTGTTATTTCCACACATAACAAAGTGAGATGTGTTTGTCCATTACTTTACAGTCTGAGTGCTCCCTCAGGAAAAAATTAAGAATTGTGGGTCAACTATTTCAGAGACTCTTTGAATCATTTTACAATCATTTAAATCATGTGAAACATGACCATCACTAATACTAGATAGTAAATGCACTATTTTTGTACGACTTGAGACAGTTTCCTGTGTTTTGATCAGGTTTGTTTGTACACTTGTCAGTTTTAAAGTATGGATATAGTGTTTGTAATGTGTGGATCTTTGAATTTTGTCTCCTGTGCTGTAAATGGAGCTGCTGTCATGCAAGTCAGAAGACTCTCTGACAATAAAGTCTATCTGCTTACCAACAACTGACTTGCAAATCATTGAAGTGAGTAAAAACTGGGTGAGTGAAATACCACAATAATAATTCATTGCTGTGGAAAAAGGAGTAAAGACAGTAAAACTCTAAATTGTAGTTTAATTCTGTTAAAAACAACACGCTCAATTGCAATTGAGGGAGTGAATGTTAATTTCGATTAGGCAATAGAGACACACTTTAAAGTGTTGATGTTTTTACACTTGGTCTTAAATGGGTTTTTTATTCTTTCACATGGTTAAGAGTCTTCAGGGATTCTCAAAATACCTTTGCAACAGTGGCAAGAACCAAAATGAGCTTCAGGGTTTTCCAAACACTCACAGCTATTTATTTTTTGAGAAGTACTTTGGTGTAGCTCTGTCAATGAAAATTAAAGATTAAGGATGAGGGGCACACAGGGGCTACATGGTGAGATGGTTTTGATGACAGATTAGTTTTTAAAACAAGTAAGGATTTTAAATATTGTAATGCTGTTTTATTTATGACACAAAGAAGGTAGATGGTGTCTTTTAGCAATCAGGAGCCAGTATCAGCCCTGCAAAAGCACATATTTGAGAGGTCAGGTTGAAGTCAGTCGTGGTAAAGAAGAGTTTGTGAAGTGTATGCAGGGAAAACAACAAGAGAAAGAAAAAAACAAAGAAAAAAAACAACAAACAACCATTATCTTTCATATGCCACTTTCATTTAACTTTCCCGTATCAGTGTTAATCCTTTAACGCACAGAACCTTTTGTGCAAACATCTAAGCGTATGCACACGAGTGTGTGTGTGTGTGTTTATTGCAGTGGTGCTGATGCTACCTCTAACCCAAAATCCATCACTGAGTCCAGCCATGCGATTACAGCCTGCCATGGGAAACGCTGACTACTGCTGCTACTCTATTAGGCAAAGTGCTTGTGTGTGTATGTGTGTGTGTGTGTGTGTTTGAGTGTTTGAGTGAGAGAGGGGAAAAGAGAGAGACAGAATGGGTTTTATCCCAGACCAGGTGCTAAGTGCTTTTCAGTTGCCTCTTTTCGGTCCAGGACCATTTTCTCCCATGCCGCACCGATCCCTCGCCACTCCTAGCTGTGAGTCAGTCCGTCCTGCAGAAGAGTGAGATTAGCGTATGCTGCATTGCAACGGATTGATTTCTCCTCTGCTGCTTCCCATCCTCTTTCACCCTCATCTTTTTTGGTGCCTTCATGTTCTAACTTAGTAGATAATTACTTTGTCCAAAACTCTTCTCCCACTGTAGATTTTTCTAAAACTTCTGCCAGGACGGATATTTGGGGAGGTCTGCAGGGTTTCTGTGTGCACACACAAACTGCATGCCGCACATGTGTGTGTGTGTGTACTGTATATTAATGTGTGTGCATGTGGGAGGCCAGGCGGGCTGTGAAATAGGGATTGATGTGTCCATTTGAAGACAGGTGTTTAGAGTGTGACTGAGGGCTGCGGCAGCCTCACTCCGACTCGGTCTGCTGCCTCTGTCGACGCGGCTCCACCACCGGCTTTGATTACTTGTTGTTATTGGAGTGTGAAATCTGAATATGCTTTTTCATTACTCAAAGTTTGGCTTGTGTTGGCACAAGGAGGCGCGGGGGTGACAGCAGGGTGTTTGGTTTTATGATGTGAAGCTGGTCTGAGTTTGCGGTCTTATTTGCTTTCTGCAGAGTTTGAACTCTTGGGTTTTTTATTTTCAGAATTGATTTATGTAAATCAAAGGAGACACTGAAAACAACGCAGGACATGTAATAGATTTTCTGTGGTTTTATAGTGATGGCATTTTTGGCCCATTGGGCGGGTTGAAACCATTACTCTGGTCTAGAATAAAATGTCCCAACAATTATGTGATGGATAGTCATACGATTTGCTCATCAGGTCACAGGCTGAGGAGGATAAATCGTTCAGGGTTTGCCAACTTTTTCAGGGCTACTTCAGGGACACGTATTTTGTTTGGAGTTCAGTAGCACAATG